TTTATAGCAAAGATTCCAGGAAGTTTCAGGAATGCTGACCGAAATAATTCCCTCATGTTTTTTTTTTTTTTTGTAGGATCTCCTTCTGGTTCATTCCCAAAATTCCATCCCAGAAGGCTACCCTCAAAATACTTGCTGATTCTCCGCAGGCAATGAGGGAATGATCTCTATGAACCAGCCGAGCTGGTGTGCTTCAACAAACGCAGCCTCTTCCCCTTCATTCCCAAAACCCCTCAGTTGTTCAGTGGCACCAATTATTTTCCCTTTTTTTGGGTGGCTGCCCCACTAAAAATGGCTTCCCCAACAGGGTTCCCTTTTTTTCCAGGGTCACTGAACAACTGAGACCCTTGTTACTTGCTCACTGCTGCTCGCAAGAGGGGTCCTTGTTGCGACCTGTGAGGAGTCTCGGTACCTACATGTCCAGCGGTTCCTGTCAGGCTCGCTGGCACTTGGATGTACCGGCACGGGCAGGACAGTTAAGTAGTTGGACCCTTTGGTGAATATCCAAACTTGGGGATTTATGTCCACCGTCCCCACTTTTGAGGTGGTTCTCTCTTAAAAGTCATAGCCTTGTCTTGGTTGCTGGGGTTAATCTTTACCCCGACACCCAGCAGTGCCCTGTGTTCCTCTTTTTTTGGAGAGGGGGCGGGTTTCCTTTGCAATCTTCTACCGAAGAAGAGGCATTAGCTTGTTGGGAAATGTGCCTTTTCCCGCGAATCTGCAGCAAGTGAGCAACTTTGTGTGGGCAAGGGGCCATAGCCACATAGTCAAGTAGGCGTTTGTTTTGAATAACCTGGATGTTATTGTGATACCCTAATCACAGCGGGTATTTTGGAGCAGGCTTGTGGTTGGAGTGATTTCGTTCCTTCCATATAATATTTGGCTACCCCAAGGAATTTCCTATTCTCCGAAGGCGAAATGGCCATGGGTCAAAAGCCCGTACCCCCAGTGAACATCCCAATCCCCACTAGAATCCCGACTAAAATGGGTGGTGAATTCACCAATCCCAACCAAAATGGGATCCCCTTGAACGGTTTTGACCACCACAGCCAAATGGACCAGGCCAGGTTGCTGAAGAACCCAGGCCTCATCTCACTTCCGGAGGGAGAGAAAAATGAGACTGGGGCTGATCCAAAGGCCTCACTCCCTGGGTCTGTGGACTTTCAGCTTCTTGGGTTCGGTTGCCAGTTTCGTCGTAAACAAAAATAAATATATATATATATATATATTTATTTATTTATATATTATTAATAATAATGATAATTAATAATAATAATGAAAACGAGTTTCTAGGGCTACTTCTTTCCAGGGATCCCTTCTTTGCAAACCATCAAGAAAAACTGGGAAAACGGACCCGGTTTGTGAAAAGAGCGATGGTTGAAAAGAAGGGGGAATCAACCCCTTGAGAGTTCAGACTTTTTGTCGCCAATCCACTCAAGAAGTGAGCCATCTCAGCGCATTTCAACCCGGACCTTGCCGGAGGGAGAGTTGTCGGGGTTTAAAGCCAAGTGGAGATGGCGCGGAGGAGATAGATGAAGATTCCTGGTTGACCTGGTCTCATACCAGGGAAACCGATCGATTTTCCCAAAAGGGACACAAGAACACATATATGGAGGTCGACATATAAATCAAAATGGTCGCACCACTCGCCACTCACCACTCACCTACTGTGGATGGTTGTGAAATTTGTTCGCTCCACGAAATGAGACCATGGTTGAAACCATAGCTTTTGTTGGTATTTACGTTGGGGAGTCGAATCATTCCGTTGGGTTTCTGAAGGTTGGTGCGTTGGATGGATTTCGCAACCATCCACAGTACCAAACCTGCGGGCCTTATATCGGGATCTTTTTAGTACCCTGTATGACCCATGTATAATCACTCATTTGGGGGTAATGCTGCCACCCTAATAATCATCCCCAGTTTATTAAAAGGGGTCCTGGGTTTAGTGGGGAATCATCACTTCTCAAGGGGAACACCCCCCCAGATCAGTAAACTGGGGCTGATTAATATGGGGTTCCCATTCTGTCTTGGTTCTCAACTGGATTTCGGACAACTTCGCAGCGGAAACTGAAACTCTATTTTCCGCAGGAGGTACACCAGTCAGAATGCGTAGAGGCCATAGACATGGATTTGGGACACAAGTAAGAATGCACCTCTAGTGCACACAACCCAAGAGGCCGTACTGTGGATGGACAAAATCCTGCACCACCTAAGAAGCCCTGGAATGGTCTGATTCCCTGTAAATACCAACAAACAGCGGTTTCAACCATAGTTTCGAAGTGGTGCGAAACGGATTTCGCAGCCATCCACAGTACGACTCGCCACTCAGCTCGTGGCTAGGCTACCTTCGCCGCGAGAGCCGTGAGCGCGGCACTCCGCCTCTCGAGGGTCCTGTGGCGCCCGGGAGCCCGGAAAATGGCGCGGCTTGGACGTCTGGGGGTTGGTTTGGGGCTACATTCCACTTGCTGAAGAATATGAAGAGGTGTGTGTTTTCCCTGGTTTAAATGGAATCTCTTTGAATTCACAAGGGGTTATAACCCAAGTGGATACCCACAAACTTGGCAACTCAAGTCTAAATTTTGGGTGGGTCTGTCTTTGAGGGAGGGACCCCCAAGTTTGTTTGTGGTGTTTCTTTACCAAAAAGGGGGGTCCTCCAAAAAAAGGCGAACATCCAAGCACCCTGAGGAATCAAGAGCGCATCATGCCATCCCCGGTCCCAATGATCCGCTTTCACCTAGGGTCCTGGATTTATTGTAGACAACCTGCCCTCCAAACACCCGTTCCATCTTGGATCCAGTCTGGACCCTTTGGGTAGACAAAAAGTCTGCAAAAAGTTATGTGGCTGTGGGTCAAAATTAAACCACCATGGGACCACAGGTGTAATCCATGTTTCCACTTTGGACTCTTGGGGTAAGCAAACATTTGGCTTGCGCAACGTTGCCAGGTCGCGCCACCTACCAGCACAGCTTCAGGACAACGGCCCGGAGCTCGGAGTTGCGTTGCTTCCGCGCTCGTTGAGCGACGAGCGAGCGGTCAGTTGTTGGTGTGTCGCGTCGCGGCGTTCTTGGGGGGGTCTGAGAAAGGGAGCCAGCCACGTTTGGTGTGTCTTAAAATAAGAGACCCGCTAAAGTAGGCCCAAAATGCTATCCTCAAGAATAGACAGGTGGAACCTGACAGGGGGTGCCTGGAAGACAGTTGTCCTCTCAAAGAGGCCTTCTGTGGGTTCTATGTTTGTAGTGTTTTTCACGTATCCCTGTGTTTGGCAATGTTTGCACCCTAGACACTTGTTAGTATTGTCCTCTTGCCCTCGTCACATCTGAAGTGCCTCTTTTGTGTTCGCAGGGAAATTTGGGTGAAGTTTGTTTTTTTTTTTGTGTGTGTGTGTGTGTGTCGGGGGAGGGGGAATTGCCTGATGCAATGTATAGACGATTTCCCTATTTGGTCCCATCTTTGTATGTGTTTTGTCGTCATGGCCCAAAAGTGTAAAGCTTTCGTTCCGAGGTCCGTTTCAAGATGGAAACTTTGTTTGGGGTTCCTGCAAAGAACCATTTGAAGATGGAACACCCCCTTGGGGTGACAGCAAAACGGAGGCCCCATTGGGCCGAAGAGCTGACCCTTTCAGAAGATGAAGGACCTCCAAGGAGATTTCCCCAGGCCAAAAGGAGGGCCGCTGATCATGTCGACGGTTCCCTCGTGGGTTCGGTTCAATATTTTGTGGGGTACCCTACTCCAACTAGGTCCCCCAGCTAGGTGCCCTGTCTCACCCCTTTTTTGGGAGGGTTCCCCCCATAGTGAAGCCGCAGAGACGAGGCATTGCCAAGTCCCTGGCTGAGTATCTATACGGCGATTAGGTCCCCCAGCTAGGTGCCCTTTTACCGTTTCTTTTTTGGGGAGGGTTCCCCTACTAAAATAGACTACGGAAAAAAGGGTACCCTTATTCTAACCTCTCTACTGGAGGACCTAGCCAAATACCCGTTTTGGTTTGGGGGTATCATGTCAACCTTTGAGTAAAAAGGATATATTTACAATGGAACACCAGGTTTCGCCATCTACTTTCACCCAAGTGTATTTGACGACTGCTGTTTCATTGAGTTGCTGTTTAGGAGTCCGGAGTTGGGCAGATCCGTCAGTCAGACTGGGTCGAAGTGATTGCCAGGTGCATGTGTTTAAGGGTTTGTCTCCAAACCGAGCAACCAACAAAAAAGGTTCCCGCAAAAAATAAGAGACAAGCACATGTTTGCAGCTTTTTGCAGCTCACCGAAGCGTTGGGCAGTCGATCGGTTGAGGCGTGGATTGTGGAGTATTCCTCCTGGACAACGTGTGGCGCCTGCTTTGCGCAGGGGGATCTGTGGATGATGTGGAGCTGCCTAGCTGCAAGATGGCCCCGCTAGGGGGCATTTACTCAAAGACATGGTGGAGGAAATTTGAGCAGCGCGTAAAGGCCTTTTTGCCATTGTAGTAGGAGGTTTCTATCATACGTTGGCTGGAGGAATCTTTGGAGGGATTGCAGGGTCCCTGATATTTCACTTCCTCCCAAAGGGGTCCACACAAACCACCCGGGACGTGACCCCAGCCAGGAAGATCCCCGGACCCTTGCAAGGTTTATCAGCCCTACTCCCGGTTCGGGTCCCTTCAAGTCCCTCTGGAAAAGTTGTCGTCTTAGCTCCCAAATAACAATAGAAAGGTCAATCTGTGCTTTCCATTCCGACTCCAGAGATCCTTGTTTTTAGAACAGACATGTGTGTAAATACGGCTGCTTAGGGATTTGCGGTAGCCGCTGTCACTCAGAAAGCCCGAGGGAGAAACGACAATGGATGGATTTGGCTTTTCTTTGAAACCATCCATCCACTCACTTCCTGAGTTTCTGGACATTAGTCACTCTTTGGTAAGACCATGTGAGTGGTACACCAAGGAAATTCAAAGACACACCCATAGGTCCCGTGCAGGTTTTGAAGGGGCAAACCCCTTGGTTCCCAATATGGGTATGTTTTTTTAAGGGGACTCCCAAATTGGTTTTCCTTCCGTTTAGTTCCCTTTGTTCAACTCCCCAACATTGCTAAGGCAAAGGCAAAGGCAAAAGGCAAAGCTAAATCAGCTGCCGGGGCTAAGTCAAAGCCTAAAGCCAAGGCAAAGGCCAAGGCTAAGACCGGGCACCAGCAAAGGACTGTAAACAAACCCCTGTCCCAGTCCCTATTGTGGATGGACGAATTCCTGCACCACCTTAGAAACCCTGGAATGACGATTCCCCTGCAAATACCAATAAAGAATGGTTTCCCATGGATTCAAAGTGGTGCGAAACGGATTTCGTCCATCCACAGTATTATAGAGGTTATGGGGGCTTCTCAAAATGGTGGAGCTCCTTTGGTATGTCAATCGAAACCAAAGGACCCTGGAGGACTTGGTGCCGGAAAAAATGGAGAATCACCCATCTAGAAGCCGGTTTAGATCTGTCTTCTGTGGATCCACCCCTATGGGATATTACAAGAAAACTAAAACCAAAAAGGACCAACAGGGGGAAGAACCGGTGAAATCCGCAAGAACCTCCATCCAAGCTGTTGGCCCCTAATTTCCGAGCACGATACCCTCGAAGAAAAAACATGACCCATATAGGTCAAAACTCCACCAGGATATGGGTGCAACCCATTTCGAGCTCACGGACTGTCTGTTTACCTACACAAAAATATGGCTGTGGCTCAAACAGATGTAGAAAAAAAAAAACACTTTGGTAATGGAAGCAGAGACTAAAATTTGCGGATTTTGAGCTACACTCATTTTGTGAGGTCTTGTGGGGTCAAAGGTCTTCATTCTAGGGGTACCTTCTCCATTCTTTCCAGGGATCCTTCTTTCATTATTATTAAAACCTCCGGAAACCCAGGGAAAAAACGGATCCAGGTTTTTTTAAAGAACGATGATTGAAAAGAATGGGGAATCAACCAGTAGATACATATGTACTTCCTTAGGCTCGGGTGAGGCGTCAACGGAACAAATCACCGTGATGCGCCCGCTCGCCGCGGACGCGCGCGGCGCCACGCGACCCTCGCGAGGGCGGCGGTTTGGCGCAGGTGGTGCAGCCAGGCCGCCGCGGCGTCGCGCCGCGCCAAGCTCCGGCGGATTTCGTATCGCCTGGCGCAGCTGAGGGGCGATGCCGCGGCGGGGCCGCTTTCGGATTTCGGGGCGGCGGTTGGGGCGGGGGCAGGGGGTTTGAATGGTTGTTGTTGGGAAACATGTTTTACATTTTGCTTAGTGTGGTTTAGTGCTTGAAATATAACCACTTAACTGCCAACATTTATCAAATTTTGCTCCCCTTCCAACGTCAACCAAGGGACGGTGTGTGTGGTGGTGGGGATTTTGTGCTGATTGTTCGTCTGTGTGTTTTCAATTTTCGGTTTTCGGTGCTTTTTTTGGAAACCGCAAGGACACTCAGTTGAGACAGGCCCACTTCATTCGGCAGTGGCTCAGCCTTTGGCTCCTTGTGGATCACTTGGATGACAAAGAAACCTCCAGTGCTGAAGGATTTGCCTTTCGTGCCTTTCTGCAAAGGGGGACAAGAGGATCCCTAGGCGTTACCCACCTTTGTGGGTAACCCTTCCTCTTTTTGCTCTTCGGTTTTTATCTCGATCGGGTGGTTCCCGCCCGTCCTTTTACCATTGCCAAACCCAGGGTAATGGATCTACTGGGTTTTTCCTTAAAGAACAACTGGATTGTGTGCCCTTTTTCAGTTCCAGAGGTCTGACCAACAAGTTCGAACGAGTTGGCGATGGATTCCACGGTATCAGCTTGGCGAAGACAAGGGCACCTGGAAGTAAGGTGCCCTTGGCATGGTCAGCCATCTACGTAAGCAAGGGGAAGACATGGCCGGACAAGCTAGATTCCCCGCAAAAACAAAAGTGGAGGTTGAAGGATTGAGAGAAGCCGGAAACCGACCGAGCATTGAATGCATTGGACATGTTGAACAACACATCTAGCTGAGTTGGAGGATCCCCATCTGAAAAAAGCAGTAGTTGCGGATGCATCGAACATTTTCTCATGGGTTCTCTGCCAACCGCAGGTTCTCTGCGTGGTTTCTGGGTGACTTCCAGCCATCCGATCCCTTAACTTTTTCAAGTTGTTCGTTCTTGATTTAGTTTAGTTAAACTCCCCCTTCTAAATTCCCCATTCTTCTGGGGTTCTTCTGATTTATTTATTTTTTATGCCATTGTACCCACAAACTCGCGGCAAAAAAACTTCTCGCCATCGGAACACGCCCCAAGTTTGGAGATGCCACCGGCTCCGAGGGGAGACTTCGGTTTGGAGCGTCGACGGCTAGGTGGCCACGGGCTGTTCAAAATCCAAATCGTCCCAGTGAACATCCCAACCCCAATCCAACCACTAAAATCCCGACTAACATGGGTGGTGAATTCTCCCAGCAAAAATCGGATCCCATTGGTTTGGACCGGCCAGGTGTTGGTGGAGCAGCCAGAGCTTTTGGCCAAGCTGCAGCAGATCTGGGGCCGACCCTGAGACCTAACCCAGGCGGGGTTCGGTGGGGCGGTGGCTTGAAATGGCGGTCTCCGGAAAAACGGGCTGTATTGGTATTATGTATGGCTGTGGGTCAAAACCAATGGTACCATTTTGGGGGGGGGTGCACCCATTTTAGTCTATTTTAGTGGGGATTGGGATGTTCACTGGGGGTACGGGCTTTTGACCCATGGCCATATATATATATATACATATATATATATATAGAAATACCTGGGATGGCTCGGGTTTCCAAAAATCTGGTTGATATGTATATATATATATATATATTATTGTTTGTTCGAGGCAAACTATGAAGCAGTCCTTTGAAGATGCAGGTGTCCGATTTTTGGAACCTCCCCACTTGCGATCCTTTCAATGGCATCGGACGAATGGCAACTTTTGAGGACCCTGGAGTATGGTTGTGGGCCAAGTTGGGGGTGTCCCCTTGTCTTTTTCTCGGGCGAATGTGGGTTGGTCTGTCCACTCGAAATTTGGGAGGGGCGTGGGATTCCGCACCCACCAAAAGAAAGGGACTTCCTGATGTTTCCATGCCGAAAGCCAAAAGGGGCTGGCCGGATAGTTAGATTGTCCAGATCCAGTTTGTTCCTGTCGCAAACCAACAGTCTTTGGAGGTGAGTGTTGCTTGTTTGCCGCAAGAGCAAGGATCATTTAGACGGTCCAGACTCGTCAGCCAATGCTTTTGTTAAGTTTGGAGGATTAGGCAATGGTGTGGAGCAACGGTTAGTTGCTCGGACAGTATAAGACCTGCACCACCCAAGTTGGCGTTGAAATCCTCCAGGTACCACCGGTCAAGGTGTCCCGTGGTCAAAACCATGCGACTGCCTATTAAGTTTGGAGGATTGAAAGAGGTAGATCCACTCGGCTTGCAAGACTCCAATGCAGCTGGCTAACCCTGACATGAAGGGTGTTCCTTAGGTCTTCCTCTACACCAAGCCAGAAACAGTGTGACGGTAAGCAAAAGATTTACCCAACGAGTTTTACAAATGTTTGAGGGGTGATCGGTAAATAGAATACCTACCGAAGACTTGTAAATGGAATCGCTGGAGGAATGGGTCGTTTTCTCTTCGGCTTTTGCTTAAACCACAATAAAAGGCACCCTCAAAAAACGCCCCCGACTCTCCAAACACTCAAATAGGTAGTTCTTGGATCCTGATTGCATTTGAGGCGGATGCCTGTTTTGCCAATTCGGTGTCCAAACGTTCAACTGCTTTATTGGGCTGTTCGAGGTGTAAATTTTCAGGTTTGGTATCACCGCATTCTGCTGACTTGATGAATGAACCGAAGAGCTTTCGCTGCAATGACGAGTCGCCTGAGCGAACCTGGGGTCTCCTCCGAAACGATGCCATATTACAGGGCAGACTGAAATATGAAACACCATCAGAACATATGGGGATGGTTCAGAATTATGCAGCTGGGGTTTCGTGCCACAGCCATACCTGTAGACGGACGAAATCCATTTTGCATCAGCCAAGAAACCCCGGGATGATTCGAATGATTGGGAAGTCTCCTGATTTTGAGACACCCAAATAGTCCAGAAGGGACGGGTATTTTGTTTCCTGACCCCCTGTTTAAGATCCAAGAACCCGCCATTTGAAAACAACAACCGCTCGCCACCTGCTAAGAACGGCCAAAAGTCAACTGGCTAAACCAAAACATTTGGAGTATTTCAAGACCACCCTTTTCGGGTGGTTTTTCGACGGAAGCCACACATATTGCTTGAATACCCTACGGTATTCGGAGCTGCGAGGCAAGCCACAGCTCGGCAGTGATTTAGTTTTTCTTCTAGGTCGGGTTTGATTGATGGCCTTGGCCGTTTTTGGCTGGGGCCAGCTTGTACACAGTCATTTGGGCAAAACTCCAGCGTTAAAGCCACGAAACTCATCAGAGTCAGGAAAGGCATCCAAAGTCACATGCCTTTCAGCTGCCGAAGGCAACTCGGGACCTTTGGGTTCATACCAAGGCGCGATCAGACCCAGGACGTGAGCAGCACGGCATTGGAATTCGCGGGCTCATTGGGATGTGAGCGCTGCCGAGAAGCATGGCGTTTGGAAAATTCTCGCGGTTTCGGACCAGGATTTGGCCATCCTCGAGACCCTTTGCAGTGTGGGAAGTGAGGTTTTGATTAGCTTTCCGCGAGTGGCCGGAAAAATCGCCTTGTGACAACAGCGGATGGGAATCCCACCTTGCGTTGATCCCCCATTTGCTTCACCCATCGTTGACAATCCAAACTCCTTGGGCGTGGAGCCATGTTCAGAAAGGAAGTTCTAGGAATATTTTCCCACAACCATGCTGAGCACGCTAGACAGCACCTACCTGCACTGTCAGGCGGCTGGAAGCAAAAAAAGAGAAACCACACGCGCGGCTCGTGTTGTCGAAGGCTGATGGACAAACATGCCCCCCATGCAATTACCCGTTTAGATGACAAACGTGAACTTGCTAGCCACAAAGTGTTTGCTTTTCTGACCAGATTCAATTTTTGGGGGCTGGTTTTGGGGGTGGGAGGCAGCAAATGGAAGCATCAAATGGTGGGGGCTAGTTCTTGAGCTCTTTGAAGAATTATCCCTGGTACACATGGACAACAAGTCTCTCTCTGCTTGGATGTTCGGGCAAGTAAATGGTCAGCCACTTGAGCATGCCCCCCTAAATCATTCCAGTGTTGCTCTATTTGCAGTTAATCCCGTCAGCTCACCTTGAATATGTCAGATCACACAGTTTGTTTCAACGACTGGACCTTGGTCCTTTTCAAAAGTAAGGCAACATGAGTTGGCTTTTAAACAGCACAGAACACCACCTAATACAGGGGCGAACCAGTCGAATCTTTTCTACCTTTAATCATGGCTAAGATTGGCTTTACAACCCCCCGCAGCCCCATTCTAATGATTTCGACCTGTACATTATTTCAATATGTGCCTTCTTGGGGTGGCTTTAAAATGGCAACCGAAGGGAGAAACACCAATTGTGCAGGGTTCCATTCCTAAAAAAAACTTTTATATGCATATAGAAGCAAGTGTTTGGCAAGGAGTGAGACCCTAGATTCTTCCCCAACTGTCAGGCCACTTATCATTGCACCAGATTTAGCCAATAGGGGGTAGCGTTTTCTCGAACCAAAAAAAGAAAGAGGATAGGGTCCCCGATGTGGCTTCGCTTTTGCAAAAGCATGTCTGGCATTCTCATCATTCAGAAGGCTACAAGGTCCCTTTCGCAAGACCCCTAGGATACATTCGGGGCCGATCGCCATTTCTCGGTTTGGAGGATCCCCGGGTAAAGCCGGTGGTTTTCGATGGATCTCTAGGGATAACTTCCCCATTCTTTCCAGGGATCCTTCTTTCTAGAAAACCACCAAAAAACCTGGGGAAATGGCTGTTTTTTGAAAAGAACGATGGCTGAAAAGAATGGGGAATCAAGCCCTAGAGGATCCTCAAAGGAGCCCTGTTTTGGTGGGGGCGTCCTTCGAAACGCGGAACCTCCTTTGCTGTTCGAAGTGGAGGAGACCAAAGCGAAGAAGACACGGGTGCGGGTGCGCAAGAGGCAAAGGGAGCGCTGAGTGCTCTACCCGGCCCTGTTTTTGTCATCAGCATCCGAGTTGTTTTGTTTTTCTCTCTTTTTTTCTTCTTCGGGTTGGGGTTCCACTAAAACTGGACAATCAGCCCGTAATTGTTCGGAGCCAATGTTGGTTTGCTGCCGAGTTGTTAAGTTGCTCCGTATTCTTCCTTGGTTGGGTTCGGGATCTAAACATGGTCAACCCCAAACAGGGATTGCCCGAAGCGAACTGATCTTTTGACATTTTGGTTTCCCGATGTTGTTGTTTTTTTTTTAATCAAAGGTGTCAAAAGGTCAACCGGTTATTTCTGGGTCCAAACTGGGCAAGCGAGTAACTCATGCTTGCTTCAAGATGTCGTATTGACCCGGCCGTCGTGCCACCACGCGACGCGGCTACCTCGAGATCTTCGCGCAGGCGGCAACGCAGGGCCGCAGGGCGACGTGGTGCCCATGACGTGCCCGGCTTCGGCAAAACAGAGACAGAGAAGATGACTGTGCACAACGTGCGTGAGTTTCTGTAGGTCTTCATCGCCCATGCGAAGCCTGCACAGCCTTCCAGAAGTTCGGTGCCATTCGGTGCTTTGCCCCGGGATTTCGATGGGCAGCTCACACATCGGAACATTTATCTTTAAATGACACAACATGTATGAAACATTCCCAACATGCCCAGAATTGCTCGGTTTTTTCTTGGTGAGCTGCCTTTTTTTTCCATGCGGAGATTCTTGATGCTTGTTGGACGAACACACTAAAGCCCTGCGGAGCCCCTTCACATCTAAACCTTAAGGACCCTTTCAGTTCTGTGCGCCGCACGTGCGATGAAGGTCAATGGCTAGGGATGGAAACTCAGGTGAAGGTTGGGGGACACCTTTTGATGCCGATATCCGGCCTGATGATTTTCCGGGTTTGGGTAGATCAAGTTCATACCCAGTGCTTCCTGACATTCTGGAGACCTCCCTTTTGGAGAAGGAGTCATTTGGAACGTCCTTCCATTGGTATCACTGAATGCGAAAGGTGTTTTGCAGAGCCCCAAAGCCTATTAAATCATCGGCGCTTCTCGCACGGGTAGTGAACCACCAGCCCCCCCAAAACCCAACAAATCCTGAGATGCGCTACACTGTGTGGGTGTGATGTGTTGCTTCTCACGGCATGCCTGCTGCGAGTCGCACAAGCACCATGGGAAGTCCAACGTGGATCACAACTTGGTTGCTAGCCACTTACTGCATGTAGCATCACTTGTTTGACTACCAACCACTCACCACAGCTATGGTTGAAAGTTCCCTTCCGTTGAGTTCCGGCATGCTTACGACCCACGTACCCCATGGCCGATCACCCGATGTCAGCCGCAGGGGCGCCAAAGATGAGGCTCAGGCGCAGGCGCAAAGGGCTAAAGCCAAGGGCTTGGTGGCTGCCAGCCATCCGGTTCCTCAGCTTTTTAGATC